TCCTAATTTATTTTACATCATAACTTCTCTCTCCTCCCTGTTTTCCTGCACACCCATGTCCCCCTTCACAGGGATTTCCTCTTCCCTGCCTGCAGCAAGTTTGTTGTGGGAGAGGAGAAGAGGAAAAGTGGGTAGCTGAGGGTTTGTGTGTCAATTATACATCAGAGGCTTCCCTGCTTCTTCAGAAGCTTCTAATAATAATAATTATAATTAGGGCACTGGGAGAGAAATATGCTGAGATCAGGGAGAAAAACAGGAAAGCCAGGCCAGAATTAATTAGCCCCTTTTATCCAAGAATCTCAGAGCGTTTAGTCATTAATTAATGAATCCTGTGGTTAAATCAGCACGATGTTGGGTTTGTGGCCGGTCCCAGGGCGCGGTGCCCGTCCTCGCTCGGCCCCGGGTCCCGCTGGGCTGGTGCCGCCACAGACGCTTCCTCTTGTTGCAAAACACCAGGAAATAGGCTGAAGTGTTTTGGTTTAACACTGCTAGGGAAAAAAAAAATAATAAATCAGCCTGAGGCAAACAGCAGTGATTTATTTTTTTTTTTTCCCTCTAAATCTTGAGCTTCTCTACGTCTCTCTGCCTGTACCCGCCCGGGGTCCTGTGCTGACCCACAGCAGCTCCCCCTCGCCTCTGAGCAGCTGGTACCCAGTGTGTGCTGGTGGGAGCCCAGCTCTGAGACCTGCTGCCCAGCTCCAAAGGGCTGTTCCTGGCTGATGGGAGCCCTGAGCACTTCATTCCCCAGAGGCTGGGTCGGAGCCGTGCGTCCCGTTACCCCAATTCCCAGCCCCATCCCTGTCTCGCGCTCAGACTGACCCAGCCTCCTCCCTCGCTGTCCCCGTCTCGCTCAGACTGACCCAGCCTCCTCCCTCGCTTTGGTGCCAGCTAATTGATGTAATACAGAGAGTAATTTAGTTACTTAAAGTGGTAAAATTAGATCTCGTATGATGTGCCTGGAATCTCCAACGTCCTTTCCGTGTCGGAATGCTGCTGTATTTCCTTACCCCAGGCTCTGCCAAGCTCTCTGGGCAGCAGGAGCGTGTCCTGCAGGGAGTTCCCTTCTCTGGCGAGGTCCCGGGACCCGTCCCTGGCTGTGGATTTAGGCTTTTTAGTGTGTTTTGGCAAGTCTGCCTCAGGGACAGCCTGGCACCCCCTGGCTCCCGAGGAGGTGATGGAGGCGGGGGTTTCACAGCCCGGGAAAGGGATTTTGGAAAGCGGGGAATGAGGCACTTGTGGCTGCACCTGCGGCTCGGAGCAGAGCTCAGCTTCCCTGACTTGAGACCAGATAATTCTACAGGCCTGTTTTAACTAACAGAGCCAACTTCCTAGCGTGGTAATTACTTTGATCCTGGTTGGCACAGATGTATTTTTCATGTATTATTGCTTAATACTGGAACCTTTCCTTTTTTTCTTCCTCTGCTATCTGAAGATAGCCTAATGAAAATTATTTTTCCCCCCCTACTTCATTAAATGCTAAAGGGCAATTCAATTTTCTCCATAGCTTTCCCTCTGTCTTTAGATTTTCTTAATGTACTGCTCTGGCCAGCCTGATAAGTCATTCTTGTAATGATGATATCGAGGTCTTTTCAGCATAAAACTTAAGCTGATTTTGTAGCTACAAGCAAAAGGCCACATCGGGTGCTGCCCGTGGGGGTCCTGGCTGCTGGTGCTGGGCTGGGGCCAGGGCAGGGTCCTGGGGGGCTGGAAGCCAGACTGGCCGGATGGCTTGTGAGAGTGTGTTTAGCTGTCTGTATAGACTTCCCCGCCAGTTGAAGGTGTCAGAAATGTATTTATCCAAAAGAAACCTGTTCGCTTTTGCCCCTTCTTTCTCTGCAGGGTGTTGTTGAGGCTGCAGGATGGAGCTCACTGGTCTGAGCTCTGCCGGCTGCTGTCGAGCCGGGCTCTGGCATCCGGGGGGTTTGGGGATCTGCGCCCACGGCCCCTGCAGAGATGCTCTGCATCCCCCACATCTCCTGCTGGCCACCAGCCCTGCTCACTGGCCACCAGCACTGCTGCCCAGCCCTGCTCCTGGCAACCCCCCAGCCCTGCTCGCTGGCCACCAGTGCTGGCGGTGAGCTGGTGGGAACCTCCAACCTCTCTGCCAGGAACCTCTCCCAGCCCCACGGCAGTCCCCAGCACCCACATCTCATCTGGGTTTTGCTGTTCAGCCTCATCAATAGAGGAATTTTTGTCTGTCTCCTGGTTCTCCCGCAGTATGCCCATCGTTGGCAAATATTCATTGAGTGAAATTAGCATCCATTAGGTCTTAATTAACTCATAAAAGGCTTGTTTGGTGGTAATGAAGTATATACTCTAGATGTGCCCCCTGGCAGCTGGTGGGTCATCCTGCCTGCCTGGCCATCCCTGAGCAGGGTCCAGTCCCTCTGGCCAGGGCACGGGGGGCTGGACCCCTTTTTCTTCCCCGTAGCCATGAAGTTACAGCTGTGAGGAGGTGTCTGTGACCGACGCGTGTGCCCAACATCAGCTCAGGGTTGGAAAGTGTCCTTTGGTGCTTGTGGCAATGTCCCCCACTGCTGCAGGGTGTGTGGGGTCTGATGGCAGTGTCCGGGTTGTTTGGGCACTTCAGGTGCCTGTTGGAGTTCTGTTCCTTGGCTGGGCCAGCACAACCTGGATTTGGGTTTCTTGGCTGTCCCACTGCCATGGGATGTGGACGGGCCTTAGTCCCTATGAGTTTGCTTTGACACCGTTAGGGAGGCACCGAAACCTGCCGCGCGGAGAGCCCGGGTGGGATGGAGGAGGAGAATGTGGGTGCACTAATGGAAAAAGCAGGAAAAACCCTCACCCAGCTGTAATGGGAACTGCAAATTCAGAAGCACATGTGAGCAGGGTTCTACGAAGGCTCAGTACATAATGCCTTTGTCAAAGCCAAGCAAATGATAAAAAAATTCAATTTAGCCATTATTGACTTTTTTCAGACAAGATACAGCACAGGTCTTGAAGCACGGCTATAAATTAAATTTAGCCACACAGCTCACAGACTGAAAGACTCCTTCATTATTGACAAGGAAGAGGAAGGAAGGGGTGAGGAGGGGCTTCCCAACTTTCGCTTTTCTACCTGTTTCTGTAAATTTTGTGTGTTGTGTTTGTGGTTGTGAAAAGGATGGAGCAATGGGAGAGCAGGGCAGTGACTCCCAGCAGCGCAGCGTTTGGAGAACTTGCTGCCATGGGCTTGCAAAGCCCCCTTCCTCCCCAGCAATAGGCGGGGTTAGGATGGAAAGGGAAGTTTAGGACGGATATTAGGAAAAATGTTTACACTGAAAGGGTTATTAAGCATCGGAATGGGCTGCACAGGGAAGGGGTTGAGGCACCATCCCTGGAGGGACTTAAAAGCCGGGTTGACATAGTGCTGAGAGCCATGGGTTAGGGATGGTTTTTATCAGAATTAGGTTAATGGTTGGACTCGATGATCTTAAAGGTCCCTTCCAACCCAGACGATTCTATGATTCTGTCTGCACCCATGGCTCAGGGGCTTGAAGGCAGCAAAGGCAGCAGCAACATTTGCTTGCCTTTTTTTTTTTTTTAATCTTTTTCTTCTTCCCCCCCCCCCCTTTTTTTTTTTTGTTTTGTTGGTGTTGGGTTCTGGAGCAGTGGCAGCAAATGGTCACTTAGATCTGGTGCAAGGAGGAGATCCCCAGCCCCAGGCTGCAGCTCTGCCCCTCTGTCCCCTCCCTGTCCCCTTCTCCTGCCCCCGCACCCCTCTCAGAGATGCCTCAAGCTCCAGGGTGTGAGACCAGCCGGGGTCCCTTCTCCTGGGGGAGGGTGAGACCGGGGGCTCTGCTGCTGGTCCAAAGCCACCGAGCTAAATTCTGCTTCTCTTGCTCTGGGTGATGTTACCAATGTGCATGAATTGGAATTGATAATTACATTTTAGTGGGAAGATGGATGCTTCTAAATGACATTTAAATCTATGATTATTGGTCGGGGAACAGTTGTTATCGATGCCAGCTCTTCCCCTTTGTCACGGATTATTGCCTTTGGGCAGGTCTCCAGCTGAAAGTGAAAAAAAATCAAGCAATGTGCTGTGTGAATCAGGAAATAAATTAAGTATTATTCAGGGGTTCCCATCACCGATGGGTTATGCAGATGAAGGAGCGTGTTTCCCAAAAGCCTCTCTTTTGTCATGACCAGCGAAGACCTACCCTTCCTGTGAGAACAGGTCCTGTTCCCTCCTGTCCAGACCTGCCTTTAGTGAAGACCAATGCGGGGAAGGTCGGTGCTGGAAGGAGCTGTTGGTCCCCTGGTGTTTGCGGGTCGGTAGCTGGGCTGGGAAGGGGCAGCAGCCTGCGCTGGGGTCCTGCCGCCTTCTGGCAGCCAAAAATTCATCATTTCTGGCTCTGCTTTGAAGTTGTAACCTTGGCCTTGGCTCCATAACCTCTGCTCACACCTATGAGTTTATTGGCTTCAAAGGAATCACACAGGTGAAACTTGGAGGAATGGATCAGGAATGACAAAATCTGAAGCACTCTCTTTGGGCTTTTTTTCTGTGTTTCCTCGGGCAAAATTTCTGTGGATTTCATCAGGATTTTCTTGTAAAGGAGAAAAAACCCCATGCAACCTGCTCAGGGCTCAGCCTTCGGTGGGTTGGGTGGAGGTAATAACAGGTCATTACAACCTGAAAGGAAATTAGTGCTGCTGGGGTGATGGTTGCTGCTGCTGGGTAGCACCCGACTGGGTCCTCCTGGGGTTGTTTCTCATGGAGGATCTCAGAAAACTCTCAGACCCATGTTGGGTGCCTCAGGGGACCCACAGGGGACCTGAGCAACAAGTGCAGGTGGAGTGGGTGAAGGAGCTTCAAAGTCAATGGGAATCAGCCCCCCTTGAGAGCGGGTGGAAGTTTCTCTGGTGGTTTGTGGTGACGTTCAGGAGAGCCCCCCCAGGGGTCTCGTGGAGCCCAGCGACGGGCGAGAGGGCTGTTTGTGGGCGCTGTGGGTTCGGAGCTGTGGGTAACCCCGGGGCACTCTCTGTTCCTCTTGCAGGAGAGCCCTCCCGGTGGTCCCCGTCCCACTGCGACTGCTGCTGCAAGAACGGCAAAGGCGACAAGGAGGGGGAGAGCGGCACGTCCTGCAACGAGCTCTCCACCTCCAGCTGCGACAGCCAGTCCGAGGCCAGCTCCCCCCAGGAGACCGTCATCTGCGGCCCCGTCACCCGCCAGCCCAACATTCAGACTCTGGACCGACCGGCCAAGAAGGGGCCGGTGCAGCTCCTCCAGCAGTCCGAGATCCGCAGGAAGAGCGACCTGCTCCGGACTCTCACCTCCGGCTCCCGGGAGTCCAACTCCAGCAAGAAAAAAGCGGTGAAGGAGAAGCTCTCCATCGAGGAGGAGCTAGAAAAGTGTATCCAGGATTTCCTCAAAATCAAAATCCCTGACAGGTTTCCGGAAAGGAAACACCCCTGGCAATCCGAACTGCTGCGGAAGTACCACCTATAGGCGCAGGGCGGGGAAAGCACACAACCTTAGTGTCATTAGGGAGAGATTCTAAGTGATACGAAAATAATTCCCAATAATAATTATTTGTTAGGTCACAAAAAAAAAAAAAAAAGCATCTCTATAGTACTGCCTAATTTGCCTATTTCACCTTAACATTTATAGTCGTAGGGTAACGATATTTTTCCAGTCGTGGAAGCACAATGACAAACGCTTTTATTTGTCAACTCTGAGTCTTACACAAGCTGAATACCTTAAGGGCACAACCCCACGGGCACCGGGGGAGGCTCCGGGGGGACGCGGCTGGTGGGTGGGTGGTGTCCGGGGGCTGTGGACCGCATGCCTTCTGCCTCCTCCTCCTCCTCCTCCTCCTGCCTGCGTTGGGAGGGATGTACACAGCTCACAGAAACAAGCTATGCCGTGACAGTTTACCTTAAGCATGTGTATATATATATATGTGCATATATATATATGTGTGTATAATCTCTCTGTGTATATATATATGTATATATATATCGATATATATTGCTTAAAGATTTTCTGGCTCTCTCCTTACAACTGCACTTTCTCAGAAAAGAGCGTTTTTTAGCCATCTGTGGATGTTCCGTTTCTTCTTCAGGTCTTTGAGGGTTGAACAGTAGAAAACCCATCTTGCTGTCCCTCCCCCACTCCCTCCCCCCTCCTTCTCTGAGACACTGTAAATGCATTTCCGTGGAGACCAGGGGCCGGTGTGTGGGTCTTCGTTGCCGTCAGCAAAATATCCCATTTGTTTTTTCATGATCTTCCCTCTGTGTCCTCCACACGCCTCTTGTTGTTCCTCAAGGCTCTCCGGTGCCAGCGGGTCCCAGGCGTGATGATCCCGGTTGGAAAGCTGTAGGAAATCTGCGGTGGTCGTGGTGGGTAGTTGGTCGTGGTGGATGGTTGGTCATGGTGGTGACGATGGCAGGTTCTTGCAGGTTGATCAGGGGTCTGTGCTGGGGATGTGTGGCTCTGGCCAGAGAGCGGGCACCAGGTCCCCTGTGGCACAGAAGCAAACACCAATTATGTGCCCAACAGGGCACGTTGGTGCTCTCTGGCAGGGGATCCACTGCCGGGGGACGGGTGCTGCTGTTGCCTTTCAAGAGAAAATGCAGACCCAGGAGGTGCCCAGACCCCCATCTCCGTGTCGGTCCTGTCTGCAGCCCGTGGTGGGATGTTGGCCAGCAAACGGCCTGGTCCTGCCCTGACCCGAGCGGGGGTCCCACAGCCCCCGGGGGAAGGGCAAGGAGTGTGTGGGTGCGACAGGCAACCGCCAGGCCACCGGAGAGTGGCTGGGAACCGGTGTGAGCAACTGGTCAGAGGTGCAGGGCAGGAACCCGGGAGCAGGCCGGGGTCGGAGCGGGGGCTCGGCTGTGGGGGGAGCCCGGGCTGCCCAGGAGGGTGAGCCTGGGGAAGCAGTGGAGACATTAATTGCTCCAGCTGACTGACTTTGACCATAGCTGGGAACAAACCAGCTAGGGCCTTTGAGATAAATTATTCATTTTCTAAAGGCACAAGAAAAAAATTATATATACATATATATATATACACACACACATATATATTGATATATATAAATGATAGTGCTGGTAACACAAAGCACTTTGCTCCTGGCTTCTTTAGCATCCTGCAGGTTCCAGGGCTTCTTTTCCCCTCAAATCTCAGAGGTTGCTGTGGGAGGTGATGCACAGATTGTTTCTGTGGGGCTGGAGCAGGGTGGTGGCTGTCAGCTCGCAGGGCTCCCTTGTGCCCCACACCTGGCTGCCTTTCCCAGGTCAGACCCTGTTCCTCTTTGGGCAGAAGGTCTGCAGGAGCACACAGACAGAGGTCTGTACCCGTTGCTTGGCTGCAGATATTGTGCACGTCTTTAGTGGGGAAGATACAAATTTTACCAGCAAAAAAAGGAAGCAATACCTGTCCAGAGGGATCCATCAGCACGAGCTGGCTGTAGGGAGGGGGGAAAACCCTCCCAGCAATACATCTCCCGGCCTTTGGAGAGCAGGGCTTGGATGTGGCACTTGGCATCGTCTCTGCTGAGGTGTTTCAGGTGAGGAGGCTGCTGTTTCTGCCAGCGAATGTGCAGCGTTGGCAGTGCAGAGGGAGGAGTGTGAAACAGAGGGTCTCCCCTGGGAAATGCTGGGCTCATTCCTCAGACCCCAAGAAGCTCAGCAGTTCCTGGGAGCAGGCTCTAGACCCAGGTCAGGTTTTAAGACATTCATTCAGGCTCCCGTTCAGGTGTGGTAGTTGTGCAGCCCTCCCCTCCCCTGCTCAAAAGGCACATTATCACATGGAAATCGATGTTTTGCACAAGATCCACAGATCTGGCTCCATTTAGTTATCTAATGGTTAATCTATAACATGTTTCTTTTCCTACTCGACATTTCCTGCTTCTTTCCCTCTGGCACCAAGCAAACGGAACTGGGGAGCAGACAGGGCTCTCCCTCGGGATTTCCAGGGGAGTACCCAGCTGGGGATGGTCACCCCTCTTGGCAGAAAACTGCAGATGAAACCTTGTCCTTCCCACCACTCCAGGTCATTCCCTGTCTATCTTTAATATTGGAAATATTTGGGCTATAAAATGTGTGCCAGAGTGGCAGAACAGGCGCTGTGTGTGTGTGTGTGTGTGTGTTCCCAGGCTGACGTTCAGGATAGCGTGATGATTAATAACTGTAGAAAAATTAGACCAAATGAAATGCGCCCGAATGGGCTTGATTTATGTGGCCTTCATGTCTTCAGTTTTAGATGAAATGGTTATTACTCTCCAGTGCTACAGAAATAAAGGTCTTAAACTCCAGTAATCACAGGTAGGCCAGACCTGCCAGGAAACACAATGCCTCCGGCTGTTTTGGTGGAGCAGGAGGAGGTGCCCGGTGTGTGAGTGCACACTCGTGTGTGTATGTGTGCACACTCGTGTGTGTGTCCATATGCACTTTCTGGTGCCTTCCTGCAGGGACAGCTCTCATCTGACTACGTGTTGCAGTTGTTTTGCAGGGTGGCTTGGTGTAACAGGGAGTTGGGGCTGTGCTTCGAGGGGTTTTGCTGTTTGGACTGGCTGTGGGTGGCACGGCCTCTGCAGAGGGGTCCCTGGCAATGGTGGGGAGCGGCCCACCCCTCCCCAGGGAGGTGAGCTGGAATGGGGGATGCTGAAATGGGTTGGGTTGGAAGGGACCTTAAAGCTCATCTAGTTCCAACACTCCTGCCCTGGGCAGGGACAACTCCTACCAGACCAGGTTGTTCAAAGCCCCTTGAACCCCTCCAGAGATGAGAAGGGGACCTTTGATCATCAGTTACTGCTCCTCAAAGGTCCCCTTCTCACCTCGCCACCATTACCCCATGGCAAGAACCCCACCCCACCAAAGAGACACACTTCAGGCACCTTATTCTGCCACTGTAAGGTGGCCACAGGGCCACCACCAGGCACAGGACCCTGCAGCTGGAGGCAGGCAGAGGATGGGGACATTGTGTGATGGTGTGGAGAAACCATGGCCAGGTAGAGACAGGCACTGGAGAAGTTAAAAATGCTGTTCCAGGGCAGCCCCGTAGTTCCCATGTGGGCAGCAGCAGGTCAGGAAAGAGCAACCAAACCTTCACCTGGTGGTGGTGTCCTCCCCAGACAGGCATGGAGGTGGTGGTGGTTCTTAGCACAGGAGAGGGATGTATTAACTTTGGAAGATCTCTTCCCAAAACTAGTGCCATGCACACGTACATAGACACATATATATACCAGTAGATATATATAGCTAGATGGATGTACACACGCACCTTGGGGTGAAAGGCATGGATTTGTGCCTTTTGGGTGAGGTTATTCCCCTCCGCCTGCAGGACACGGCCCTGCTTGCTGTTGGGAGAGGCAGGAGAAGCTCCTTCTAAAGGCGGGTGTCAGAGGGGTACCTGGGCCCCCCCCAGCTCAGCAGAAGGAGGGGACCTTCTCGGGGCCGGGCTCCCCGAGGGCTGCAGCCCCCCGGCTCCCCTGCTGACATGGGGCGAGGGGGGAGAGAGGGAGAGGGCTGCGGTGCAGGGGGGGAAGATTAAATTGGAATTACAGAGTTGTCTAAAAGGCAGCAGGTGTTGAGCTCTGGAAATATTCAGCTCAATTCTGCTTCGTTTCAGCCAGAGGAGCCGTGTCTGTCCCTAGGACATTTTTGGTCACTTAATCAGTAGCAAGGCAAAACGAAACTCATTTTAACAGAGTACTTTATTCTTTCTGAGGTGTCTGGGGACCGAACTGGGCTTTGAGCTACTTCCCACGCATAACAAATACTAAATAGAAGTTCAGTTGAAACTAATTTGAAAACTTACATTGACTTCAGTGGGACCGGGACTCCACCAACACGCCTTCCTCAAGAAACACGGGCCCCTGTGTCAGTGGGGAGGAGACAAAGCTGTTATAAAATTCACATCCTCTTAGGTTGCTCGCAACGTTCATCACTACGTGTGGGGTGAACGGGTCTGGCGTTAATTATCGTGGGCTGGTTAGTCCCCTTGAGTAAGCTTGGCTGAGGAGGCCGCTCTGAAGGAGGGTGAAGGTGGCCACAGCCCCACACCGTGCCCGGTGGGATGGGTGTCCCCCAAGGTGACACAGCTGTCCCCATGGCCATGTGGTGCTACAGCTCATCTCCCACCACGGCCACCCACATCCCCAGTCAGAAACACTGGTTTGTCCAAGGGTTTGTCACCCGCCCAGATGCCTGAGCAGGACGTGAAGCCTCGGGGGGGGACAAAGGGAGAACAGGGGGGTTTGCACAGACCCACGGGGACCAAACCCTTTTATTTTTTTTCCCTGAATCTGCACTCACCGTGTGGAGGCACCACAGCTCTCTGGAGAACGTTTGGGGTTTTTAATTCTACTTTTTTCGAGTCCATGTATTATTTTTATTTGCGAAGCCGAGGGCTGAAGGAGAGAACAAGGTTGATTTTTATTGGGAAGGACCATAAGGTGCCCCAGCCCTGGGCTGTGTCTGGGGCTGCTGTCCCAGCCCTGCAGGGGCTGGGGGGGCCCTCCCATTGCCTCCCCCTGCCCCAAAGCCCCTTCCACCCCTGAGCGCGCACCAGGGCTCCGCTTCCAGAGTACTTTATGCATAAGGCCCCATGTATACCATGGTACAAAATAATTGTCCAGTCTTATGGATAGTTTATGCCCCAAGGGGGTTTTGTAGATTAATAGTAAAAGAACAAAAAAAAAAAAAAAAGCACTTTTAAATTATTTATATTATATAAAGACATTCTTTATTTTTCTTGGCATCGATATCACTTAGCTAAAAAAAAAATTATCAGTTTATAAGTATATTACAGATTTTAAACTATAGCAATGATAAAGCAAAGACGAAAAAAGCAGAATTCAGAATTAAACAGACAAAACTTACCACCGTGAGGCAGGAGGACGGCAGGGCCCGGCTGGATGAGCGGGAATTGCTGGACTCCAGTGGGGGAGTCGTGTCCCTCGGCGTGTCCCCGGCCGTGCCACCCTGGTCCCGGGGAGCGGGGACGGGGCTGGGGGGGACTGGCCCCTTCCCCACATTTGCAGGACGCGACCGGTGCCGGCGTTTGGGTTTTCAGAGCTGTCCCTGCCTTAGGGGAGCCAGTGCCACGAGTGCAGGGCGTTCTCAGCCCACCCGGGAGCTGGAGGGGTTGGTGGTGGGAGTTGGAGGGGTTGGTGGTGGCTCCGTGCTCTCCTGGGGCCTTGCTCGTGTGAGTTTCCAGACCTCATTCAAGCACTTAACGACTTTGCCGAGGCCGAGTCAGTCTGTTGCACATTGATGTAGATTAAGTGGCACCCACTGAATTACCTCTCTACTTTCCAACGTGGTTCACTTGTACATAAGTGTAATGTCAAATTGTTTACAGGTTACTTCGTGAGTAATTGTGGAAAAAAAAAAAAAAAAAAAGAAAAAGTTTTAACTACAAATTTAAAGGAATCAATTTTACTGGAAGGTGTTTAAAAAAAAAAAATGAATGTGCTTAATACAGTATAGACATCATTGATTATGGTCTCACATGAATGCATGTATCCGTGTTGTCAGTCCCCACCAGTGAGGTTATTGGCAATATTCTGCAGTCTGTGAATAGCAAATATGCATAAACTACTGTGACTCTGACAAATATAACTCGGTAACTGTTTCTACTGTGGTATGTTAAAAAAAAAGAAATAACAAACCATGTAGCTTTTAGCCTGCTGTATTTCCCTGGTACAATTAACACTATGAAAGAAAGAGTGACATCCTGCAAAAAAACCCCAAGTCCTAGCTGTGACCCGTGTGGAGTCATTGGTGCGGGGGCACCTGCCAGGGAGCTGGGGGCCAACTGCTGAAAAACAGCTATTTATAGAGGCTGGGAGGTGGTAAATGGAGGTGTCACCATTGCCTTCTGTTCCAGCGTCACTGCTGGTGGCAGAGCTGACCTTTAGGAGGAGGATGACTGCGGAGAGCCGCTCCGTGCCCGTGGGCTCCCTGCGTGGGGTCGGTGGTGACAACGCGCCGGTGGACAGTACGGCTGTCGGTGGCGTGGCTGAAAACTGCAGCTAATTTGTGTCTTGCCATTCCAATAAATCAGTGCGTATACACTGTAAGAGCACAGACAAGAATAAATAAGTTGGTATCCTTCAGCTGTCATATATAAATATATATACAGACACAGAAATATACAGCTAGATACATACGTGCTTTCTCACCCGCTGTGATTTAGCATCGGTTCGTGCTACCCCCTCCCCTGCAGGCTGGGGATTATTCTCCCTCGAAGGCGGTAGGGTGGGGGTTTTTCCTCATTTATTTCTGGCTTGAGCTGAAAATAGCAGTTGAGTGGCCGCAGGGTAAGATTCTTCTGCCTCCCTTGAACAGGGATTCTCTGGTGCCACAGTTTGAGAGTACGGTCACCAGCAGCAATACTTGTGGAGAAGCCATCACTGCATCGGGGGTTACCTGCTCGAGGGGTCCCGAGAATGCTCTGAAATACTTCTGTCCTCTGTCATTTTAGAGCTGCCTTGGTGAGGGAGGGCTTCGTCACAGCCCGTGGCTGGGTCACCATTGGAGATGAGGCAGGGCATGGCAGGAGGAGAAGGATGGAGGGAAAGGTAGGATGTCTCCTCTGGATGTGGAGCTGTGGCCCTTCTCAGTGCTGGTCCCGTTCTCTCCATCCCAGGCAGGTCCCAGGGTCCAAACGGTGCCACCTGTGAAAGCTTCAGGTTCCTCCAGCAGCTGCTGCCAAGAGAGAGGGAGAGAAGGGCTGTGGGGGTGGGAGGGAGCCCTTTGCAATCCTCCCCCCCCGCCCCCAGCTGTGCTCACTTTGGAGCTACAGACCCATCAGTTGGGTTTATTGTCGGCTCTTCCCCTCAGCAGGGCTGTCGGGGGGCGATGGGGGCTCTGTGGCCATTGCTGCTCTGGAGGGCCCGGCTCTCCCTGCTCTGCAGCCCACACACCCCCTCATCCATACACACCCCCCCAGCCCTGCTCAGGTCAGGAGGCATCGCTGTGGGCAGACTGGGTCTGAGAGAGCCAGAAAACCAAGCAATTCCTCATTTCTGGGGCTGAGTATCCCAGAATGATTTTTTTTAAATTATTTTTTTTTAATCCGTGGTACTTGGCTGCTCTTCAGAGGAAGCTCTTTCCCATGGCCCCTTCCTGGGAGGAGGTGACAAACCCCATCTTTGCAGAGCTCCCCCCATATGGTGCTTCCCCAGAGCAGGGATTTGGATGTTCCAGAGTCTGCACAAGCAGATGGGAAGCAGAGCGTTGCTGGAGGTTCTGGCTCCTGGATGGCGTGATGCTTGCCATGTGGTGGTCACAGCCTGCTGCTCCTGCCACCAGCCAGCGCTGGAAGGACCACCAGGGAGAGGATAAGGCCATTCCCATCCCCAGCAGATGACTCTGCAGGAGACACCCCCCCTTCTGCATGGGGTGACAGTGGGCCAACGCCTGCAGAGCCAGCGGTGGTCCCTGAACTGCCATCACAGCTCTCGGGGGAGCTTCTCCCACATGGATGACCCCTTGTCTGGAGCCAAGGAGAAGGGGAGACGGGCAGGCATGGAGTGAGGAGATGGTTCCACTGCTGTTTCTATACAGCCCCAGTGCTCTGTAACCCTGTTTTCCCACCTGCTCTCTCCAGGGTGGCCCTGGGAACCTGGAGTTTGCCACTGGCTCGTTGGGTGACCACCAGCATCGTCCCCGCTGGGGCCGGTCTGGACAGGGCCAGGCTGGGGCACTGCAGCCTGGAGGGCAACCAGGATGACCATGCACACACGGTGCACTCCTCTGCATGCAAACCAAACAGGGAGCCATGCTGCTGGCACCAGGTTTTTATCAGAATTGAACCGGGTGACTCTCTGGGGGGGTGTTTATGCTAATGGCTTAGATCTAAATTACTGTAGGTGTTTGGTGCCGGTGGCATGAACCAGTAACTGCAAATAGCTGGGCTCCGGGTGGCTGTGGAGCTGTTGCTCTTGTGTGTGGATGAAGTCTTTGTGACTAATGGATTTTGACATTATTGACCAATTATGATTTTTTAAATGGCAGTTTGGAATAAAGAAAAAAATTGAAGTTTTTCTTTCTTTTTTTTCTTAATGTAAAACGACAAATATCATTTTGTCCAACCTGGAATTAAAGAAATGTTTCTCTTCAAACAAAAAAGACATTAATAATGATTTATTACACCCATTTTTGCACTTTTTTAGTTTAAATTAGGTCAGTGTTGAATGGAAAAATAAGAACTTCTGAGAGCAAAAGTTGAAATCCTTCACTTTTAGAACAGCAATGTGTGCATTTTTGCACGTTTCACCGTCTCCCCCTTCCACACAAAGCATTTTTTCCCACCCAGGCCTGTTTCCCAGACTCGCCGTGCGTTCCCGAATAACCTCATTGCCACGGCCCTGTCGATAACCTGCTCACTGTCCTGGCCACCTGCTTTGGCCCCTCAGTAGCCATCCCGTTGGGTGGGCTCGGTGGGAGCCCCAGCGAGCGCAGCCGATGCTCACAAACCTGAGCATCTGGTACCAAGACACAACCCAGCTTCTCCCAACACCTATCTGCCTCTGTAATACACACAGCACAATTTGCTGGAAATATTTCAAGCCGCTCTTCTTGCCAGCACGTGCTGATTTAAGCGGCGCTGCGGGGTGCAGGTGGGGTTTGGGGGTGCACACACCTGGCAGAGGGGCCTCTCGGGCAGCGGCGCGTCCCCTCTGAGACACCCGAGGATGAACATTCTCCTTCGTCCCAGGAAAAAGGTCCTTTGAGAGCTCCTGAGCTTTCGGGAGGTGCAGTTAGCTCTCTGAGGCCATTCCCATTGCCTGGGCAGACAAAGAGAAAATGAAGGAAATCAATTTAAGATCAAAGTTTGTTTCGTGAGAAGGATTTGCTTCCCTGCGGTGGCTCAAGAGACCACCAGCGGAGCAGCAGCACTTCTTTCAACTTTATTTAATTATGATAATACTTTATGATATCTCAGGCGATGCTGGGGGTAGCTCCTGAGGAGCTGAGTGCTCGGAACGGGCTCGTTAGAGCGTGTGGTGCTCGTTAGAGCGTGCGGTGCCCGCGGGGTCTCGGGTGTGAGCGCCTGGTCCTTGGCCCCAGCACACACTGTGCTGCTCAGCCCAGCGCCAATTAGCAGGGCTCCGGCCACCTCCCTAATCATAAATCTTAAGAAAAGCTAAACTTTTATGGAATATATTATTGTCCTCATTCCCTTTCATGTGGAGAGAAAAAAAAAAAAAAAAAAACCACAAACCAAAACTCACCTGGATCTTCTTTCCTTATTGCTGAGGTGAACACAAATTCCTGCTCGCAGGGCTCCGGCCACCTCCCTAATCATAAATCTTAAGAAAAGCTAAACTTTTATGGAATATATTATTGTCCTCATTCCCTTTCATGTGGAGAGAAAAAAAAAAAAAAAACAACACCAAACCAAAACTCACCTGGATCTTCTTTCCTGATTGCTGAGGTGAAGACAAATTCCTGCTGTCAGGAGGAGAAGGAGATGCTGGAGGTGTTGGTCAGGACTCAGCCCAGGCTCTGGCTCCAGTTCCCATCACCGTCCCCTGCCCAGGCTGGGATCCCACGGGAGACACCCCAGGTCCCAGGGGGTGGTGCCGGCTCTTCTCCCCAGCAGCAGCTCAGCTCCACAGCTTCCCACTGTTTTCTGGGGCAGGAAGCTGAGTTTTTCTATTCCTTGCACTTCTGAGTACTGTCTTGTCTTCTTTACATGTCAGGACAGGTGTGAAAGAGCAATGGATGTTCAGGTCAGAATAACCTGTACGATTATTACTGAGGATTTAATTACCTTCCCTGCGCAGCACGGTACGATGTGCATGGAAAGTCGGAGAGATTTCCTTTGATACCAGGTGACATCAGAATATAATTTTAATCTGCCTTACAGCTATATAATTAAAGGAGCTTATATAGAGAGAAATATATATTTATTTCTTCTTGCTGGTAGAGTTCTGGTCCTTCTGGCCCGTGCTCAGAGCGATCAGCCCCAGCCCGGCTCTGGGCTTGCCCGGTGCTGGAGATGGGCTGCTCTAATCAGGTAAGTGCTGGTGGGAAGAACGGTCCAAACTCATCACTTGCTCAAACCCTTCTCAGAGGAGAGGAGCCCTCTCCCCAGACGAAACCCCAAAGACGGGCTGTGCAGGCACTCAGAGCAGGGAGGAGGAGGTGTGGGGGGGGAAGGTACCTGGGGACCCTCCAGCCTGCAGCAACCACCTCTCCCCGCTGTGCCGAGGGCAGGGAGAGAGGAAACCTCCTGCAGGGAATAGAGATGAGGAGATTGTCTCCTGCAAGAGCAGAAAGCAGCAAACACTCGCTTCTTGCTGGACTTTTCTCTCCTGTCGCTGCGGGAGAGCACCCAGGGGCTGGTGCTGCCCCGGCCCCCCCTGGCAGTGCCCACCCCTGGGGCTCCTCGGCCGGGGAGAGCTCTGTAAATACAGCAGGTTAAAAACTGGCGAAGTAACAGCAGATCTGTATTTAATGCAGATGTTTCCCATGTTTTGTAATATTGTTTTGTTGATAAATAAAAACCAACCAAAGACCAAAAAAAAAAGGGTATTTGGCATCGTCTGTGTGACCCAGACCAAGCCACTCGCCTGCACTTGCCCACGGAGAGGGGAAGGTCCCTGTGCCAGGAGGGGCCGCACAGCCCCCCCTCACCCCGAGGCCCACACCTCCCGGAGGGCTTTGGGGGTGACCACAGGGGACCCTGTCCCCAGCTGTTGGTGACACCATGGTTAATCCTCATGGATTCCACATGGAACCAGTGCTGGGCTGGTGAGCACGTCATCAGACACTTTGAAATCTGGGGACATCGTCTTCTCAAAGCCATTTGTGAGCACATGCAATTAAGCAGCTGAACACACACCTGTTACCTGACCAGCCACAAACACAGGGGATAAATAAGTCATCCTGCATCAAAGCCATGAAGATGTCTCGTGATCATCCCTGTGTCTTCCCTGGTCCCTCTGCCACCCCCAGCACCGGGAGCTGCAGGGATGCCTGTATCTTACCTGGCCCCTGTGCCACCCCCAGCACCGGGAGCTGCAGGGATGGGGAGGCTCTTTGTCCACTGAGGGCACTGACATGGTCCCTTTTCATTCCTGGCAGCACACGGCCTGTCTGCTGAGACCAGCCTATATCCCACTCCCTGATCAAAAACGCAATGCAGAAGTTGAATTTCAAGACAAACCAGAGGTTTTTTTCACATAAGAAATAATAATAATAATAAAAAAGAATTTAAAAAAAATCAAAAGCGTAGATTAGAAATGTAAAGCTGAACAAAAGTATTTCTAAATTTGGGGAGGAGCAGGGGTTGGGTTCAAGGATGCTGATTACAAACCAAACCAGACTGCAGATCTCAAAGTGTTTAAAGCAGCCAGCGGAGCCGGGGGCTGAAGTGCCGATGCTTGAGCTCTGCCTGTCTCTGGTCAATCAGATCAGCACACTCTGTAATTCAATATTAACACCAGAATACTTCTTGTAGAGAAGTGTGGTGGGATGAACTGATTCAGGGCTGAAAAATAAGAACAATACTAAAATATAAATCTTGCCTTTACCACTGGCATTGAAGTCTCGCTTCTTGGCCGCTCTACTTTGCCCTTTATGTTCATGCCAAGATATGCATATACATAAGCCATTAAAGGTTAATGGAAAACCAGGAGAATTTGGTAGGTTTTAGGCATGATGTAAGTGTGATGCTACATCATCCACCTGTTCCTTGTTTAACCACAGCAATACAAGAGGGCAAAACTCCATCAGCTTAGCAGAATCACAACAAAGGAAAAAAAATACCTGGCATTTGCAGTTTAGTCCCTCCAAATTAGGGGAAGCAGGACCTAAGAGTGTTTTTTATCACATCCATTCCCAACTTGAGAGAGAACACTGTATATGTTTAAAAACAGCCCTCCTGCAGCCGCTTGGTCTCCGAGAGCAATATTTGTGTTGCTGAGAGGAGAATGACAAAGCGGTAGCTCAGATGTTCCTGGAGGTGGGTGTGAAACCGGAGGGGAAATTCATCTGCCGTGAGCGGGAGGCTGGAGCAGGTGACCTCCGGAGGCATCGCCCAGCCTGGCCTCTCCTGTGTGGGGGAGAGCTTGGCAGAGGAAAGGCAAATTCATTTAGGGAGATGCGAGGTGGAGGATTACAAACCAGGAGCAGAAATAGTGAGAAGTGGGAGATGAGACCTATTTCAGTGAAGGGACTGGCCGAGCTGCTGAACATCACACAAGGGGCTATTTCTGTGGGGGCTCTGCCGCCCCAGCCCCGCTCTGTGACCCTGCAGCCCCGGGGGTGAGCACACGGGGTACCCGCAGTGTTGTGCCGAAAAAACTGTGACCCAACAAGGTCCGAGCTCTCCAGGGGAGAAGAACCATCATGGAGGGAGGTGTGGGCAGCTTCTCCAGCAGGGAGGGACCTGGGGCTCTGCCACAGCCCTCGCGTTGGTGGCAGGAGGGATGGAGAGGAGGGACAGGAGCCAAGCCAACACCGCAGCCCTCTGCCTGGAACCGGAGTTATTTCACTTCCTCTGACTCTAACATGGTGATTAACTTCACTCCCCCCACCCTTATTCCCTCTTCATGAGCTGTTGCCAAGGGAAGATCAGCGGCAGCAGCAGAGGAGGGGTGGCAGACACAGGGCTCCGAGGGTGCAACGGGCTGTAGGCGCCGACAGCAGCGGCGATGACCTTGGCTCTGCCTCCAAAGATAAACCCCCGCGTCCCTTCCCCTTCACTCAGTCCCAGAGGGTGTCAAACCCCCCTGCCCAGGCACAGCCCCTCCCCAGAGCAGCCAGAGGTGCCCCCAGGCACAGAGCAAAAATGTAATTTCTGCCTTCTCTGTGATCTTGTCTGTGTTACTTGAAGTTGTTCTTAAGCTATTCTAATTATTATTTTTTTTTAAATCCAATAAAGACTCCTAATACGTGTAATTTTATCATAACGTATTGGGAATAGTATGTAGTTTAGGGATATTACCAGTGCTAAAATAAATGGTGCTACTCATGTAGCTGTGAGCTTTTATTTTTACCATTATCTTGAAAGAAGCAGTCTTGATCTATTTCTAATTATTCATTAGGACTGTTGCATCTGATCCTCTTCTTTCCTTTGCTCTGAAATGCTCTCTGTCTTACCGTGAGCTCTGTGAACAACAGAATTTTACTTACGCTGTGCTCTTGCTGGGGAAATAGGTGTAAAAAGCGCTGGGACAGCCCGTGCTGGGGCTGGGGTAACCACGCACAGCTGAGAGAGAAACCTGAATTTCCCGGCTGCCACCGATCTCTCCCTGCCCTCCCGCGTTAATGAATTAATCCAATCTAAACCTGGGAGAGCTGCAGAGAGCGTGGCCTGAAATAGCATGGCTTTGGGCAAAACGATAGGTTTCAGCGGGGATGCAGGAGGGGCTGCAGCTCTGTAATAATCAGTGTGAGGCGATTGCCACCCGTTAGTGCCGCTGGGCTGCGAAACTGCACGGCTCGACTGTGACGTACGGCCGGGGACGGGGGACAGCGAAGGTCAATGCCCACACAGGCAGTAAGAGGAGGATTAAAAATATGTCTCTACTCTAATAACCCCTCAATTAAGAGCAGCATTAGCCTGGATGTGTCCGCCCATCCCTTTAACCCCACAGACAGGCCACGGAGCTGTGCCCAGGCTCCAGGGAAGGGCAGGGATGGGAGGTGGCTCTGGGGTTCCCGAGCTCCGTGCTGGGGGGATGACCTGCTCCCAGTCCCAGCACGGAGCAGCCACCAGTTCCCAGTGCTCAGAGCCAGGATGTGGTCCCTCAGTTTGCACCAGTTGCACCAGTGACTGTGCCAACACCTACTGACCACAGCAGCTTCACCAGGATGTCCCTGCTCGGTCCACAACGCGATGCTCCTGCTGAGGAGGAGGAGGAGAGGAGCAGCTGGGGAGCCACCAACGACGCTGGGAAACCTCCAGTGTGGGAGAACCAGGACCAAGAGACATTCACTCCCAGAACCAGGGACCCGTCTGCGTCTCCCGAGGGCTGGCAGCTCCTGGGGGAGAGTCGTGGTATCCTTCTGCCATTGCTTTGGGCAATTAGACCTCACACAGCGGGTCCCACAACCCCTGGGAGGTTGTCCTTGAGTTCCCACTGGTGTCCAGAACTGCAGGAAGAAAATAGAAAAAAAACCATAAGAAAAAAACAAACCAAAAACCAACAGGAAAAAACCAAACACACACACAAAAATGCCCCCCAAAAAACCCCAAACCCAACAGCTCTCTCTTCTTCCATGGTAAAATTGTTTAAGGGAAGCCTGTCCCTGACCACAGCAGCAATAAGCTGTAGGTGCCTAAAATGCAGAAGTCCCGACACCTCCAGCCCTGCTTTTCCCTCTGTTCTGATGGCTCCACTTTCCCTCCAGCTTGGTTTCCTGCTTGGGACTGTTCCTCTCACCTGAATTGCCCCTCACAGCTACTGCTACATTTTTCACTGTGTTACAATTTCCTCTTTAAGCTGTCCAGAAATCTGATATATTGATCTAATTATCACCAGAAATCATTCCAGCCTCTTAATGCTTTTGCAGCTTTTAGCCAACACAAAGGACTGAAGATTTTTCCCTCATAACTTCATATATTTTTAATCACTCACATCTTCATGTCATGTCTAATACCTTCATTTACGTCTGGGATGAGCTGCACTGAACATAAAATATTCTTCAACCCTTTACCTCTGCTACTGCTTCGTGCTGCTCGTTATGCCCTCCGTTGCGCTGCAGTGTTAGTGCTTATCTCTCACTCACAAGCATGTTTATTTTTCCAGCACTACGATGAGAAATAAATTCAGCTAACAATGCAGAGCTAACGCTGGCAGTTTAATTGCAGCTGTACAATCCACCTCCCTCACACACAAAATACAAGCAAGAACATTTTCCTCTCCACTTCCCTGGAGGAGCAGTAGTTGTTACTGCGGTTGCGTGCCCTGGACCACAGGGACCTGATGCAGAGAGGAGCAACAGATCTTCATCTGCTTTAAACCTTTAGTGATGCATCCAGCTGCACCCATACCATCCTCACCTCTCCTCCTGCTCTCCTCGGACTAAGCCACTGGCCAAACACCCTGGAGAAGCAGCACGTTGTGTATTCCTCCCAGCACCTTTCCCAAAAGCCCTTTCCTGGCCCCGAGGTGGGCAGGCAGAAGCTAGACCAGCCCCGGGTAGCACACCAGGACCAACTGGCCAACTGCACTTCATACACAAGCTGATACTTCAGCATAACAAACCCCAAAACCCCACCAACCGACTTCTTGTCCATCGGGGTAGAGCCATCAGCCTTGAAGCCTCACCTCTCACCATGGTATCTCCACTTCCAGTGGCTCCCACACGCGTACAGTTCATTGACTATTAAGTGTTATCTCAAGACCTGGACACTGAACCCAGCTTCAACAAATAAAACTGAATTTTCTTCTTTGAGTGGTCTCTTCATCAACTGTTTTACCATTTTATAACATCCACCATGGTGAAACACCAAGCTGTTATGTCTGCTTTGCACCCTGAGCCACGGCGGGTCTCCTGCTCCTCCAGCCAGAGCTGAACAGAAGGGCATTGGAGGGGGGAGCAGCCAAACCCCTTTGTAATTCCTTCCAACCACTAATCTATGCCCTGAAACAGGAAAATGGATATTCACTTTAGATCTACCTGATAGGAATATAAATGTTACTCTGCTTTTTATAAATGCCCTAGTGCTGTGTTTGAATTCTTTCTGAAAGGACAAAGCAGGTGAGCTCTGTTTTCCAGCCACCATTTCTGCGGGCAGACTGAATTTTCATCCTGTGGTTGTATCTTAGCACTGTTATAACTAATCGTCTCCTCCAGGTTAAACCTGCAAAGGCATCCCAAATCATGTATTTAAATGACAGCAAAAAAATTCCCCTAACTCCTTAAAGTTAATGATCTTCATTTTCATTTTCCACATATTTCTCTCCTTGTAATAGCCATGTGCTAAATCTTCATGAGATTTTTATAGTTTCACTGAAGGAATATTTGCATAATTATTAGTGCATAATCTACTTTAATGGTCCCACTGATTTTACTGTTATAGCTAAATGTATGTGGTGTCAAATTTAAGCATATAAAGTTCTGGACAATTCTTGGGCAAACACTGCATCTGCTGGAAAGAAAGTGTGCCTGTCCCTGTGCTCGCTTCAAGGGGAGAACATGGAATGGTTTGGGTGGGAAAGGACCTTAAAGCCCACCCAGTGCCACCCCTGCCCTGGGCAGGGACACCTCCCACCACACCAGGTTGCTCCAAGCCCCCTCCAACCTGCCCTTGAACCCCTCCAGGGATGGGGCAGCCACAGCTTCTCTGGGCAACCTGGGCCAGGGGCTCAGATCCCTGCACCAGCCCTTGCTTAGTGCTTGGCTTTGGGGATTCAGGGGCTGGAGCCAACAGGAAATTGTGGGCTCGGTGCTTTGGGCAGGTTTTGTGCCAGCTGAATGGGGCCTGGCCTCCTGCTCTCCCGTTTTGGAATCTTCCCCCATGGAATTGACGTGAAAACATATAAAAAGGCTGTCCTAAAATAAGAGTGGTGAGGCGTGGGGATGCTGTGATGACAGCAGCTATATAAGGAGGCAGCACAGAATTTTTGAGGGAAAGCATCAAGCTTCTGCTATTTTCCAACCAGTTCATACTCTCTCTGTAAAATGTCATTTCTTGAATTTTTTTAGACTGTTCTAATAGATACTGATAAATGTTCTTCTCCTTAGGGCTTGTCAGGAAAAGAGGTGATTGATACTATCTTCAGAAGCAGACAAAAATGTTCAGTACAGTATCTGCCAGTGGGACGGATCACAAAAACAATGGTCTAAACCTAATCTGTATGAAACTTTTTTAAAAAATACAATACCAATTTAGGTTCAAGTCATACCTCTGCATGGAAGCCACAGCAAAGACTTTTTGACTTGTAAAATCTGGAAAATAAATAAGAAAAGCAAATTATCTCAAAAAAATGTAGGCACCAGTGTGATGTGACTACAGTTTGGGCGCAAAATGCTTTTTCTGCACTGCTTTTGAAGATGTACTTATTCAATTAATATTATTTCCTAAAAATACTGACATGTTGTAATTGAGAGATTCCCCAGGCCTGAGCCCGGGGGCTGGAAATGCCTCGTCTCTCCCAGATCCGAGCTCAAGCCCGAAATTAAGCTCTTAATGCCTTATTAACAGCAGAGAGTTTTGAGTGTAAAATGATCAGTTCTTTAAATGATATATTAAATTAACTTTCCTTATGTACTTTCAGATGGAAGTTAAATATTTCCACATAGCTCTAGACAGCAAAAGGCAATCAAGGGGGATTAGCTGAAGGGCTTTTTCTCCATTAAATGCGAACTCCGGAGCCGAGTGGGGCCAGGGCTTCCCAGCCCCGAGCACCGCGCTGTGCCCGGTCTCACCGTCCTGCTCTTCCACATAAAACTGGCACAGAAATCTGGAAGAATAACTTACCCCATGGCCACTTCTGCTTGGTAGAAGCCACACTCATAATGAGCATCCTTCACTTCGTTATACCACGTGCGCTACGCTGGGGACCTCAGCTTTCTGAGACACTATGCAATTTTCCAAATTTGTTCTTGCATAACATCTGACAAATGCCATTAATTGTTCTCCTTTCAGCTCTGTGCAGGCAACAACAGCAGAAGTTTGTGATTTTTTTTTTTTTTTTTTAAAACAGAACCTGTCAGAATAACATGATTAAATGTTGCTGTCACATCCCCAAATTGTGCATACTGTAATCCTCAAGTTTTTTCAACAGTTTTCATGGTACCTTATTTCCATAATAGTGGATAAACAACGGTGTAGTACAAGGCTATAATTTCATTGATTGTTCCTGGCAACCTCGTGCACCTTGACAGCTCCTGCAGCTCGAGCGGTTTGTCACTGGGAGCTGAAGATGCAACTCCTGTCTGACACAGGCCCAGTTTTACATACGATCCACTGACATTGCACAGCCCCAAAATAAACATATAAAGATCTTACAGGCATCTGATGCTTCATTTTCCCTCATCTGCAGGGGATGGGCATGAAACAGTGCTTGGTGCACCCGAGGGGAGCAGGAGATCCCAGTGTTTCCTCCACTCCCTTCCCACCTTGGCATCCAGCGGGGACTCGGTCACTTTCTTCAGCACCTCAAGCAACATTTGGGGTATGAAAGAGCAAAATAACCACTCTGAAAGGGAGCCTGACCTGCAGCTGGAGAACCTTGGCTGCCGTGCCCGTCCTGAGCTGCCTCCAAGGGCTCTGTCTCCCTGTGGACCAACCGAAGGAGAAGGGGACGGTGTGGGCTTTGCAGTTTTGGAGTCTTCATGGAAACCACCGCTGTCATAAGGGTGTGGAACATGTAACCTTTTTGTCTCTTCGATAGACAAATGATCAGCATCCTTCTTTGTAAATGATGCAGCTGTAAGAAATTAGGAAATAACTTCCAGATAAGTAGATTTATTGATGCAATTTGGTGCTACATGGCTAGACTGGTGTGTTTATAAAATATTTATAGAGTTTTCCTTTGCAGTGATGGAACGAGAACTGGTTGAACAATGTGTGGGTCTTCATTAGTGCTATTGCACATGCAGGTTTGTTTTCTGTCTCATCTTGTCCCTTCATTAAGTTGGCCCTCATGATAAATTGGCCCAGATCATTAATTAATAATTACCTCTTCTGTATAAAATCAGATTCCTCGAGTTAGTGCTACTGGTTATGAATTTAAGATTATGCATAAACCTGTATGCATTTCTCTGCTCCATATTTAAGTCATTCTGCTATTCATCCAAAACCTCATCAGAACAGATAATAAACCACTTCATGAACAGATGTGCCACTTATTCATCTAGTTCTATAATGATAATGAAGAAAATTTAATCTGGAGTGTCTATGGAAGATGATCTAAAAGACAGATTGGTATGAATAATAAAGACACTACACAAGAATTTTAAATCTGACATGAAAAGGCAATCATTAAGTACTCTACAATGCTGCCTTTGATATAGTCCAACAGTGTATAAAAACAAGCACCTCTTGGGTGTTGGACTCCACAAGGAGCTACTGTTTCTGCAGATGTAAATGCTCTAAATTGCTTTTACTTTAAAGAAGTATGAAAGATAATTTCTTTTACAGCTGGAAGCAACATCTGACATTGCAAAATGCTGAAAACACATTGAAGAGAGATTGAAGATTTCAGATACATTGAAGGTGAATGGCATAACAAGCATAGCTGAATATTTACTCAAAAAATAAGAAAATGCAGAGACAAGTGGAAATTTGTGAGGCCAACTTGCTCTGAAGAGCCATTTACCTCTCGTTAGCTAGATATATATTTATCTGTTTCCTCATATATGCCGCTATTGATTCCTGTCAATAGAAAAAGAAAATCAGGAATGCAGAACAGGCAGGAGACACTTATTGTAGATGAATCTTTGCAAAGCCTTAATGGAGTTGCGTAGCTACGTGATTTCTGTTCACAGTCAAAAAGATCATTTAAAATCCCCAAAGTGTCTTTGACGAAAAAAAAGCCATTGCATTCACCGTTGGCGAAATGTCCCAGATTGACAACTGCCATCTATTTATTCCAAAAGCAAGAAAAGCACAAACTGTGCAGTACAAGCTCGCCAAGTGATATAATAGGATAAAAAAAAAGAAAAAAAAAGACCGTGCTAGGAGGAGGGGTCATGGAATAGGACATCACCGTGATGGCCATAAAGTGGCATAACTCAGAAGTTTCCTCTGGCCGCACGTTAAGCACATGCAGTTCATCACCAGCACATCAACCAGAGCAGAGGGAAAAATCACCCTTTGGTTCTGAGGAAGACAGATGAGGAGACCTCAGGCAGAGACAGAGGGGGGGGACATGGGCACTTACAGCTACGGGTGCAGAGTCATTAGCAAAGACGTGCAGGAAAAATGAGTCCTAGAGGGGGACTCTTGTCTTTCAGCTTCAGGGAAGTTAATGAAACCATTCGTGACAACATCAATACAGGAAAAAATGTAAGTGTGTGGATTTGCTCAAGATCCTATGAAGTTCAGAAGAGTTACCTGTGCGTTTGACCCCAGCCCAGACCAAAGCACCTGCCCTAAGGAGGACCAGGGCTGCCAGGAGCAGGATCTTGCAGCGTCAGCCCTCAACACACCCGATGGCTCATCCTGTCTGTGTCTCTGCAGAGCATGGGCAGCCACCAGGGTGGATGGAGAAGGCATTTCCAGCTGCCTCTCCTTGCTGAGCTGGAGGAGGAGAAGAAGCTGGTTTGGTCCTACCATGCCGTTTGCTGCTCCCTCCTCCTCTGCCTCACCAGGACCTGCTCTCGGCCACTACTTTGTCTCCCAGCAAGAACCAGATTTAGAGCTGAATTTCATTAGTGAGAGAAAACTGAAAAGGAACTCGGTGTGAAGAGATGCTCATCTCCGGAGAAGGCGCTACTGTGAATTACTTGGGTGAGTGGGCAGGACACTGTCCTTCCCCGAGGGCCCCCGTGTCTGCGCGTCCCCTGCTGCTCTGCCCCCACACGTCCCCAGCTGCCAGAGCCAAAGTTATTGCCTTTGGAAAATGACCCTGGGGGGAAACAGCCCCATAACAGTAAATCTTTTTTTTAACAGTTTGTCAACAAAGAAGTACTGTTTTTAGCACCAAAAATATTGCCAGCCTCTTTCAGCATCTGTCACAACAGCAGCAGCTGACATCGCCACAAATTCTAGGTTAAGGAGTCAGGAAATAAAAGAGGATTTGAGAGGGCAATGTGGAAACTGGGTTTCTCTTTTATGTCAGGTCCTTGAATCTGACCCAGCAGGAGCAGGCAAGGGGAGGGATCTGGCCCCCTACATGTGGGTCTGAGTTCCCCATGGAGCTGCAGGAACTGGGGATTGCTAAGGCAGAGTTCCTTCACCCTTTGTCGCTTCCTTATCGAATGTGGGGTCAGATCCTGGACTGCAAGTTTACCTTCAGTTTTCCTATTGATTTTGATGGAACTAGGGTTTGCTTTAATTCACTGGGCTCTTATCTTGGCAGACACGTTTCCATTTCAGAGTCAGGGTGTCCCCCTTGCTCCAGCTGTTTACCAAAGCAGGACTCAGCCAGATCTGTGTGGGCTCAGACTTAGCATGAAGGAGCTCAAATAAATCAACAGCTTTTCTACTTGTGTACACATTTGCTGTGGGAGCACCCAAAGATATCAGCCAGACCAGAGTCCCCTGTGCTGGATGTCATCTGTACCTGTGCTTGTCTCTTGGCCAGGAGAAGACACTGGGGTTCCTGGTCTACCTCCTGCAGTCCCAGGCCAGTTGTGGCAGAGGTCACCTTTCAACAGCGGTTGTCAGGGATAACAACGGGGGCTTGAGATGGCTTTAAACCCAAGAGCGAGACAAGTCAGAGAGCCATTACCTGGGACCACTTGACGCGGCTTGTCCCTGACCCAAGTGAAGTCCATTGCACCCAAACAGCAGCATCTAACTCGGCTCTGTTGGAGATGTGGAGACCCACCAATGTTTTTTAGTTTCCTTGGTGATCACTATCATATCTGAAAGACCAAAATAAAATTAAAATAGCAATGTATCAGAATTAGTTATCTACATTCATATTAATTATATACCTTCTCTAACATCTAGCATTTCATGGAGTAGATTTTGGTACTTTTTGCTACATCTCTGCTTCTCAAGGACTAGCATGAATTGGTCAAAAGGATAAGTATTTAATCTTCTAGTGATAGAGCAGACCTTTTCATAGTGAGATTGTTTTATTCTTAGGATAACTTCAATAAAGGATATACATCTTCCCAAGGACGAATAATTACTTGAGCAGCCCACAGCAATTTGTCAATGAGAATGACCCTGAGACTAGTTAAAGTTCATAAGGTGCAACATGAGTCACCATTAGAAAATAACAGAGCTATTTCTCTCAGTGACACAAGGTGAAAATTCAATAGCAAATTGGTATGAAAAATTATGACCTAGGCTAAATCAGAGATGAGTAGATGAAGGATTATAGCTGTTGCTGGTTTAGGAAGCAAAAGTGAGACTATGTATTTTGAGTGCTTGAGAGGAAATTTGGCATCTTTGGTAACATAGATATAAAGATATAAAGGAAGAACATACAAATGGTTTTCGTTTATTACTGTAGTCATGGAAATTGAAAAGGCAATGCATAATCCCAGAAAGCATTTTAAGGACTCCACTTCCCAAGAGCTGGTGGCTCAAAAGCAAAGGGTCCAACGGTCCAGCCCCCATCAGAGCATGGCACTGCACAGTGTGTAACACCGGGGAGGAGCTGTGGAAATGCAGGTGAATGCACAGGGTCCCACCGGGTCTGTTCACCCACCCAGTGCTCACCCTGTGCTGCCCAACACCGACATCGACTCGTGAGGCGGCCCAGCTCAGGACGCTCTCTCCTGACACAAGTAGGCACGGACTTGGCAGGACACCCCATCGTTCCATCCCACAACCTCCCTACCTGGATTCTGACCTACAGCTCCTGCTCTCCTCCACCTCCACGTGTCACCCATGGGAGATGGCAGGGATGGGCAAGAGTGAAGCAAGTCACCCCTTTGGGCTTTTTGCCAGCTCCGTGCTGGAGGCAGCACAGTCCTTGATGTTTTGGTGCAGGACAAGGGGATCTTGGCTCACTCCCTTCCCAAAGAACTGGGCCCTGCTTTCCAGCAGCTCATCCCTCGCACAGAAGCAGCACCAGGGGAGGCCAGGAGAGCCATGGGCACATTTTACAGAACTGCACTGTAAAACCTGTTGGTGCAGTGACAGAGCAAGAGAATACGGCCACCGATCAAATATGTGCTCTGATGGATTGCACACCACCTTAAATATTATAGGAGAATGTATTTCATCTGGATGGGAAACTTTAAGCAGGACGCAACAAACATTTTTCTTACAATATTAACAATTTAACATCTGAACTTTATCTTCTCCTTGGATAATAACCACTAGACACTGAGTAAAGGAACAATTGATTTAAGATCTCAATCAAAAGAAAGCATTCCTCTTATCTCTATAGCCGAGCAATGAAGTAACAGTCATCTGGGGTTATTGTACATTTGTCAGCCCATTAAAAGCACAGACCCAAGATCTATATATGGAACGTAAGACATTTGCGGAAATGACTCTTGCAAAAATCTTCCATGGTTAAGAGCTTGCAAGCTCTGCCCTTCCCTTGATTTCCACAACGTTTACTAAATAGGGCAAGGCAAAAAAGAGAATTTTTACATTTCCTGTACTCAAACTTTCTTCACTCCTTCCACACGCTTTTGCCTGATGAGTTAATGGGTACTCCGGCAGGGAGCGATTTGGCGCACGAGGTGCTCTTCCTTCTACAAATGAGAAGAGCACGTCGGGTTGATACTGCCCAGCTCTGAGTGTGGACGCAGTGAAATGCACAAACTAATGATGAATGACTGATTTCAAACAAAACCAAGCTGGTAATAGTTTTTCCCCACATTCTGCCATCTCTTGTAGAGCATATACTGGCGTGAGGCAGAAGCGACAAATCCCAACTATTCGGAGTTTTAAATCACAGTATGTTCATTGACAAAATGAAGTATCCAAATCCTTTTTTCTTCTTTAAACTTATTTCCAGCAATTATTTTAAGACACATCTTACAATCTGTGTACCCTCAACTGATCTTACCTGGGATTTCCAAAACAAGATCCCTGCTATCCTGGGTTTGCTCTGTCAATGGATGGTCCGCTGTTATCAATCAAAGCTGCATTATTACTGCTCTAGGTCAGCAGCTACAAGAGCAAACATTGATTCCAGACATTTTAACATGGCAATACATATGCCATATTAAGGACAGTAAGTCCTGCTAAAACACTAACTACCTCCTTTCAAGAGATCTCTTGAGTGGAAAAATAGCCATGCTTAGTGGGCAAATGCATTGGTATACCAATAAATTCTGTGAATGTTAAAGATTTCTCTAAGTAACGTAAGAACAACATAAAACCAGAAATAACCGTTAAAACAAAGATGACGGTGTGCTTCAGTCTGCACAGAGCTTACCATCGCCCTCCATTGCTCAGTCTCCATGGCCATGGACAAGGGGCTGCGCTGAGGTCTTCCTCTTCCTCGCCAGCTCAAGGAGAAGCGATGGCTATGGGCAACGATGTCAACAACACCAACTGATCAAGACCTCGGTGTGCGACACTGTCACCCAAACTGCACCAAACTTTTGGCAGGTCTCCTTCAGGGCACAGAGCGAGGCGGCTGAAGAATCCGGTGCAAGTTGTGTTTATTTTTGTCATGACTGTTCTGCAGAGATAATTGTGTCAAGCTGAATGCACAGCGTGCTGGTTACATTTCTATTCCAGTTACCATGGTTGCTAATACTTAAAAAACTGCCTGGGAAAGGAAGAGAATTGTTCTCCCCATGCTGGGAAATGTCTCCCTGGCTCGCTCCTGCCCACGTAGTGCCACGACGCTGCTGGTCCCGCTTCAGATGTGGAAGCTTGTGGAGATCTGCCTGGCCGGGTCTGGCAGATGGAGCTCAGTTTCTCATGGTTTATCACTGTGCTGGCAGAACAAATCTCCTCACCTCTACTCAGGTTTTACAAAGAGAGAAATCTCTCTTCCTACAGCTGCCTGTAGGCAACCGTGGGAGCAAGGAGAGGTGGAAGGATTCAAGGTCAGGCTGGACGTGGCTTTGAGCAACCTGCTCTAGTGGGAGGTGTCTTTGCCCAGGGCAGGGAGGCTGGACCTCAATGATCTTTAAGGTCCCTTCCAACTCTAACTATTCCATCACTCTATGATGTTAAGTACACTTGGAGCGCAAAGGCTGTTCCTGTGGATTTGATCTGAGCCAGTAACAGCGAGCAGTACTGGGTGGATGAGAGCAAGGCAAAAGCCTGGAAGAGCAAACCAAGTGCAGACTCTTAAGCCCAATGCTATTCTATGGTAAGCAAAGAACTCGACAAGATTTAAAAAAAAGTGGTCAGAGAACAGGCATTTCCAAACATGATGGATTTGAGCATAACAAAGTGAGCTGTTTAATAGCGTGAGCCTTTGCCTTGGTCCTGTTGCTAAGTTGGGGGGGGCTCAGCAGTAGCATCTCCTTTCCCAGCCATAGGTTCAGCCATGCCTACAGCTGCAGGACATCCCACCAGCCCTGTGCTGGGACCCCCTGCCATCATCACGGTGGGTCTCATCTCTGCCGCCCGAGTGCGGGATGGACCTGACCCACCTCACTCACAGCAGGCACCACCGACAGCACGTAGGAGATCCCTCTGGCTGCCAACCCCCTTCAGTTTTCTCCATAGCTCAGAGCAATAAAAAAAAATATTAAATCAATACGAATTTGAAAAGCTTTTCAACTCCAGTTCTGTTGCAGATCCTCCAGCAGGTTGATTTCCCTCTGGGTCTCTGCCTCCCTACATCCACGTGAGCATTCCCCACGTACAAAGAACTAAAACAAAATGTCACACAAAAAAATACCCGAACTCCATGGGGTTTAAATTCACAATGAATTAAGCGCTAGCTTTATCAATCAGGCAAAACCACTAGCTGAATCACTAACTCTCTAAAATGGTTTCAGAATCAAAGGGGCCTTGGTTCAATTTAACTTCATTCAGGAGATTCAAAATAGGGTTTAGTCCTGGTCTGGTTAAATTCACACTTATATTCACCAGCATTCACTTCTCTGGGACCTCCACGAAGATGCTTCCCTTCGTCCAAATGGTGCCTTGCCCAGGAAATATTAACCAGTGAGACCTCCCCATTGGCACCAGTTTCTCCTTTCCACAGGTTTGTAAGCAGAAGGTGCCGAGGGAAGCCCCACTCCTTTGTCCCTGCGCTCTCAAGAGGTCAGTTGAGTCTTCACAGTAGTTCCTTCTGACTTCTGAGTCTGCCAACAGAAAAAAAAAAAAAAACCAAGAAAAATACTTGGCTCATTGACATTTCAGTGAAAGAGAGTTGTGTAATCAAGGCTCACCTGGCTCTACTGCTTCCTACTAAATGAGTATCTGGTTTATTGCAACCTATTCATAAAGTTATCCATCATTCCTCACAAAATTGGGTACGAATTCATGTGAAAAGCCATTGCAATATTCACCTTTCATTATTCTCCTGTCTTTATGCCCATTCAACCCAGATGCAGAAATAATAGTGTGTGACGTCAGTCCCAATGAACAAGCAATGTCGTGGGACGAGGTGGCCACTGCTGCGGCCACCGCTGGTGGACACGTACCAGGGGGCCTGGGGGAAGGCGAGGACAGGAGGCAACGTCTTTTGTGTAGACATAACCTGCTCTGTCTCAATTACACAGTTCCCAGGCAGCTAATAGCCCAGTAACGACACGCTGAGAGGAACTGGTGAGTGCTTACAGATGCTACACCAGCAGAATATGGATGGAGCAGGGAGCTGCTGGCCGGGCACGGGCTGAGGCTCCGGTGGAGGGGTTTGTCCCTGGTTATTTTCATTCAGAAATGCTCCCCACTCATGTCACTCATGAAAAACCCAATAACATTAGAAATACGTGGAGAAAATGCCATTTCCTCCCTCCTGGCACCAGCAGAGCAGGGAGTGCTGAATCCCACAGACTTGAGCCTGCGCCGGAGGCAGAGCATCCTCCGAGCCGCCCGCCAGCAGTTTTAGACCTGCTTGCTTGAGTATCATTTTTAAGCTTGTTTGAGCAGAGGCTCCTTTTTAGAGAGCAGTGCTCCCTGGCCAGCTCCAGGGAGAAGAGAGACATTGACGTCTCTCTTCATACATTTCGAGATACAAAAAAGCAAGTTATGAATAATGTGAGATTCCGCTGGCATCATGCATAATGTGGGCAAGAAGCAGGGGAGAACAGAGGGCACTTGAGAGCCAGGTCACAGAAAGTACTCCACGTGCAGCATTTCTCATGAGGAGATCAAATAGTGCTTTAGTAAGGACTTATAAATATTAATCCAGCACCCGTTTCAGTTACTGTCACTGCAGGAGCAGCCGTGCTCGGTGTGCGTGGGGACACAGAGAGGGAGCAGCTCGTGACAAGCCTCCCTTGCTTACTTCATGCTCTTTTGTAGGATTGCAGGGGGTTCTTTTTTAATTGGCACTCCAGGGTAAAAGAAAGGGTAATCTAATCACAGGCTGAAGAAGGTAAAGCTTCATCGTTTAACAGATGCGCAGCAGCACACCCTCACAGAGAGAAGGTGGGTTCGGTGGGTGCCAGAACTGGAGACCTCAGGAAGGGATGCAGGTCTGAAGCACATACGCCTGTATCTAGAAGTGCCTTTGGCTACTTGAATTATTCAGAATTGCCAGCACATTATCTTGCAGCAAGTTCCCTCCTACACAGAGGAAAATGCAGTAGATACTAAATTTTGTCCACTGTCAATATAGAATTTATTGCTGCCTTCGTACCCCCTGAGACACCGCTTTGTCACCGGCCGGAGGCTGCTCACCGAGGCTGCCCAGGTTAAAGCTCTTTACAAAAGCCACTCTTCTGTAATAGAGAAATTACGTTTTTGGGTAAAGGGCAATCCATTCGTTTCTGCCCACCTGAAAATTTACAGCGCTCGAAAGCCAGTGACTATATTTCACCTGCTCCCGACACCCTCCTGCTCCCAGGCTGTCCAAATTGGGTTCAGCCACAGAATGCCCAATGAGCTGGGGCTGTGCAGAGCAGTGTCCTGCCCCGTGCACCCCCCGGGACCTGCTCCTCCATCACACACCGCCTTTTTCTCCCACCCAGCACGGTTCTGTGCACCCCGATGGAGTGCTGATGCTGATACATAACGTGGACACAGCTCAGGAGCTTAAAATACGAGGGGAAGAAATAAAGAATCACCATAAAACATGTCCTGTCGAATAAGCTCCAAGTGCTTTTACAGCAGTTACCTCATGAGATACTGCTGTGATACAGGGATACACACCTCCAACCCTAAAAATGCTACGTGTTTGCTTTTTAAGTCATTTCCAAGTATTTCAGTGCAGAAAACTTACCTGGTGTCATCATTGCGTGCCCCATCCGAGCACCCGCACCCCCGGGTGCCTTTGCACCCCCAGCCGCGGCGGCAGCCGGAGGCACCGGCCTCTCAAGGGTGAGGAACCGAGTCCCACGGAGGGGCTTCCCACGGCCACAGAGGGGCTGGGCAGGACAGACACCTCCTCCTGCATCCCCTGGCTCCAGCAGAGACCCTGGTTTCCCTGACCCTGTGCCATCCTGAAGAGCTTTGTACCGAGGTGAGCGTTTCAGAACAACCCCCATCAGGGAGGGAGGAAAGAACACACAGTAGGAAAAAGGTTTCTGCGTGATAAACTGACATCGATTGATATTCTATATAATCCCTGCTTTTTCTCTCTCCCTTTTCTCTATCCCCCCTTTTTTGGCAAGGGCCCACGTGCACCAGGGTGGGTGAGAATACTCACTTTAATTATTTCAGTGCTTCACTCTATTACATGGATGTCTTGGGACTGAAATCTAGATGTTCTCACTCTCATCTGCCCCTTTTTGGTTTTGCCTTCCTGTTTCAGCCAGATGGACCTCAGCTATTCCTTGAAGCTATATTCAGTTTCTGATATATTTTCCATGAACAAAGGGGAAATTTCTTTTTTTTTTTTCCTTCCATCAGCAATTTTCTACAGTAAATAAGAAAAGGAAATGGAAAACCTTGTAGGAAGTCCCAGGCTGCTGAGGCTTTTTAAATGGGCTCAGAGCTCAAGCACGAGGCAGATTAATCACAAAACAGACATGTTGAGCCGGTGCAGATGATGACATTTCAGGGCTGACTAAGGAAGAAGGATTAATTGAGTGAAGGGACCAGGAACAAGAGAAGCCTGAGCATGAACCAAAAGGTACAGGAGAGTCAGGATGTGACGGCACTGAGACTACTCAGCAAAATTAAGGGTGGCCACGGAAAATATTTCCTTCGGAGGAACACTGTGATCTCATTCTAAAGTGCTTGTGAGAAATCATAGATGATTAATTGGATCATTTCCATATCCTGTTCCTAAGTGAGGTACTTAAAGGAAAGTGTGTTTCTGCTGCTGCCTGACCCACAAACAGGGTGTCAGCCGCTCCAGAGAAGCTTCAAGATGAAAAAGGACGGAACGATGAGCTGCACGCATTAAAGAGACAGGCAACACAGGTAATAGCCCCTGTGTCCCCTGAAATATATCCCATTCCTCCAGTTAACAGTTCAAAAATGTATCGCACGGAAATGTACCCCTCATTTAACAAAAATAAATAACTAGAGTC